CAATAAACTTATTCCACATTTCAATTAAAGAAGGCAATTTTCTGTCACAAAATTAAATAACAAAAGGCTCGAAATAATCAATCCAAGTTAGTTTTTGCCAGGCTATTTAATAATAGCGCTAACTTTACACGAGAGATGGAATGAAAAAAATCTTCTTACACCGGCCGGTCTTCGTCCCGCAATAACAGAGAGTTTTTACATGCATACATATGCACAGTTCTTTCTCGGTCTCCTCGTGTCGCTATTTTTAATGCCTCTTCGAGGCCCGGTATATGCCAAGAAAATGCGTAATAATTGACAATCACTGGCGTGTGTGTGTGTACGTTTTCAGCACCGCAGTACCGAAGCAGTTGCCCCAGGTCAGGGCCTCTCTCGCTCGCACCGAGAGTATGCTTCAATATGCACTGTATGCTCGCGCGATGTTTGTGCACTTGGTTCTCGATTCGTCATTCGATTGCCATGCAAATGCGGCGATTTCGTCGGCAAAAGAGGTTAAGGGCGGCCGATAAACTCCTTATATTCTTATTTGCGAATTCCGACGGACGTTGGATAATTTTTTTAGGAAGAGGAAATTGGCTGGACAAAATGGCGGTCCGTTTAAATTTTATTCGCCGTCCTGTTTACCTCGATACGAGCGTTTATTTATAGCCGCGCATTTTTTTTGTCGTGCACAATAAAGAAAAATATAGGTTGCGACATTTTCGCGGTGCAGTGGAAATATTTTTTCGTTCGTTATGTTGTTGTTGACGCAGATGTTGGCGTAAGTGTCGGTGTTGTGAAAATAATCGGTTGTTAATCTCCACAATAATTTCGTGGATTTATAAGATTTATTAAAGATTATAAACTCGAGCTCTTTACAACGATTTGTCAAATAAATTTTGAATCGTTAAACAGCCGTTTTTTATTTCCGATAAAAGGAGTCAGCCCTTTAACACTTTTCGCTGGTAATTCGATACACCCTGTAGGTGTTATAGCGGCCAAGAAAAGCATAAAAGTAAAACGGCTCGACGACGGCTACGAAACGGGCAATATCAGTTTCGATTTCAGATCCTGATAACACTCGACTGGGCGTAACGAATACTTTTACCGACAGTTATGAACACGAAACACTTCTCGCTCGCGGTACGCCGTAAATTTGTCTCCCGGCATCTAAAAATGGGCTCGTTTCACGTGCGAATTTATTCTCTCGAAATTCGCAAATAGGGCCGGCCAGGACCTGCAATCGTGTCCACCACAGTGCTCTTACAGTCGGTGCAAAACAAATATCAATACACGTCACTACTGTCGTCATATTTGCCTAGTATTGTAGCCAACTTTTAAAAATAAATACACTAAATAGATTAAGCTTAATACACGCAGAATTTAATTTAATATTAACAAGTGATGATAGAAAATGTTAAACAGCAGAATTAAATCAACCAAAAGAATATATATTGTCAAAATTCAACGTTTGTATATAAAATTATTATTATTTTCTTATAGTAGGTTGGTAGGCACTGACTGTCAAATTGCATTGTTGCCGTTGTCATCCGATCGGTACTTTTAATTTTCAATTTCTTCTTCTTTTTTCTAGTTTACTAGCTTCCACTACTAAAGGCTATTCAGCCGAAAAATCAAGAAATAAGAAATTGTTGCATAGTTATCTTTTCCACAAAGAGATTCAGAAGTTTCCTCAGAAATTTCACTATGTTACTCTTTTAAGGGTCAATTTTGTACACAAAATTTTTTACTCGCACTGTTAAATATATTTCAGATGATAAAGGAATATTCATTACAGTGAGCCCCTGAATACGTCCGCTGTTTAGAAACGTGAAACAGGTACCCATAATTTTCAATTTGTTCTTGTCATTTTGCCATTTGACAATTTTAGAAAATTCTTAGATTTTATAAACTCTAAAATTCGGCAACATGGATATTTGTTTTGCATCGACTGTACACTTTTTTAATCACGTGCTATATTTAGCTTCTAATTTGATTTCTAAATGATTCTAAACGTAATGTCTATCGACAATCGCCGGGCGTAAACGCGACGGGCCGGCGTGACCCAATCGACTTTTAACTGTAAAATCAAAAGGATGGCTGGCAAAAAGGCAACTTCTCATTACGACGTTCTCTTGTAAACAAAATAATCATTGCGATCGGGCGAGCAGCAATTAGAGTAGCGGCTGGAAACATCCACTTTGATTGTGAGGTTCTCTAGATACAAACAGCGAATTCGACATGATTTCGACCGGTCGGAAAAAAACCGAGTTGATCGATTAACTTTATACAGGGCGAACCAACAAAACAGCAGCACTATCAAACCGATTTCATAGAAAAAAAAATCCACAAAAACGTCACTTACTAATGATTATTTTGTACGTTGTACTGATGGTTGTATGCAGTCTTGAATATAAATTACTGTAGTTACTTTTGCTCACTCTGTTTGTACTAATTCAATAATCGTAGAACAATTACAGTCTCTGCAGGTGGAACTTCCTAAAATTTCCTGCAGAGACGACCTGTATAGGTACATGAAAATCGATTCGTGAAGAATGCGCACCTCTGCAACTTCCCTAATGGTTTCTTCTTCTACTCGTTCTTTCACCTACAGGTGAAATTAAAATAGGTATTAGACCATAAATCTGGCGGACTGATGAACGTTTATAACGCTGTCGACCCGGCCTGTGGGCTGTAAAAAGGTTTTATGCGATGAATTCGCTGATTGGGTATTACCCTATTCGGTAGTGGTTATTAAAATTTTAGTATCGAATTTTAAATTCAATTCAATTCGCTTTTATAGGGCCCGCAAGATGAACTACGACTCGATTTTTTCCCGCTCCCAGTGAAGTAGGTATTGTATGCAATTCTATCAATCTAACTCGATATGAGGAATATGGCCATTAAAGTCATCGATTAGCTATTATTTAGCTCGTTTATTACGACATTGGAATATTAAGTTTAAAAGATAATATTTGGCCAAAACATTCCTCCAAGGTTTACAGAAAATGTTATTTTTAGTCATTAACAAAAGTGGTTCATTTAGATTACAACACACTTTTTTGTTTGTGCTTTTAAAACGTTGTTACATAACCCAAAACACTAATTATTTATAGGTCATTAACTCGCGCTGATAAAACAACACGGGGAATTTGAATGACAATAGGTTAACTATACCAGAAATAAAGGCGTTCTCACACACAAAAAACGCTACTGGAAAAGTCGCTTGTAAAGCGGCAGTAAAACCATTAGTAAGCACCTATTTTAAATTCGGTTTTATGTTAATATTTAAGCATTGTTTGGCCTTTAGAAGGCTAGTAAATATTTAGTTTTTTACACTACAATTTACACTAATTACATCATAAATTATTTCCACGCCACCATTCCGTTTCCAATACGAAATTCATGAATTAACGAATTGAAGATTATTGCCCCTTGGAAATTCAATTAAAGGAATCCGAACGTATACGCGCACACACGACGCCTATTGAACGCAAATCGAAAGGGAAAAGTGGAAGAATCGGAAAATAATAGATTGTTTACCTCGTGCCCTTGACAAAAAAAAACATTTTAAATGGGGAAAACTCGAAGCGTATTTCGCATTTTCCGGCCTGCGAAACCGTCACGAATTCAAGGATATAATAAGTCATTTTCAGTATCAAACTCGATAAATGTATAGGAAATAAATTGAATTGGTGGGCCCAGCAGGGAATTCATGTACTCGCTGGTAACGTGGATAATTAAACTTCTCGATAATCGATAAGTAGAACTTGTGTAGTATGCAGGAAATATTGGGAAACAAGCTTGTAAATATCCCACGAAAATTATTAAACCATGTTCTTTTAATGGAAGTAAAAGGAATTGTTTCAAAAACTAAAAAGTGTAGGACATACCTACAGGGTACAAAAATATATTTATGCACTTTGTGTATTTACCAAGCTTTATCAATAATTAATAAATTCCACCAGCCCACTTAATTTCTGTAGTAATGAAGCTATTATTTAAATTTTTAAATGGGTAGATATCATCAAAGCAATTGGTCTTACAGCGGAAAAAAAATTAGAACGAACAACTTCCATTTGATCCAATGCCATATTCAGTCGTCCAGCACATTTTTATTTATTATTTTCCATTAAAAATAAATAACGTTCCAATTTATCTCAGTCAGTCGACCATGTTTCAAATCAACATTACAAATCGAAATTTAAACTGACCTTTTTTTACGGTCGACGCGAAACAAATATTTTTCAGCGAGACAAAGGAATCTTGTTAAAATGTATTATTTATAACCGGCCTAGTGACAACTGTAAAAAATTACGACCAGTGTTCGATTGCACAGGAATATTAATTTACTGTATACCAAGTAAAAACGCGAATAATTAAGCTCAAAATCAAATAGAATTGGAAAATATTCCGGCGCGAAAAAAATGTGCTAGCAGGGGGCAATTAATTGCGAAAAATATGATTTAGTCGCCCGATAATTTGTCGAATCGTAAATACTCGAGCGAATTCGAGCTTGATATTTCGGCGCTCGTGCATCATAAATTTTTGCGACTTTTTTAGCTCCGCGAAACCTTGACGTTTACTTTCTCAATGAAAAGCCACTTTATTTTATTTTTAAATTCGAGATTCTTCAAGGTGAACAGTAAAAAAGACGAATGCGATTTGAGGTTTTTTTCCATTCGAGATTCACTTCAATTTTCTGAAGAATTTAAGTGCAAACAACCAAAAATTGCTAAGTTTCTCAATATATTAAATACATAAAATAGGTGTAAAAACGGAGTGTGTGAGAAATGTAAAAAAGTTGGCCACATTTCCTACTAAAAATATTTTGAGAAAATTAATGTTCTTTATAGCACATACCTACAGGATTTTTGCTAAATTAATTTCATACACTCTATATCTCGGAAACAAGCTATAGGTATTTATATTCTCAATATTTTGCGCTCAAAATTTTATGTGATTAATTTTTTACACTTACCCTCAGACACTCTTTAAATAAATGTAAAAATAAAATAAAATTATTTAAATTTGTGTTCGTGCTCTTCTTTTTCTCTGCGCTTAATTTCCGCCCATCTGGCGACGTTCTCGGGAGAATTAGCTAAAAAATATCAAAAAGAAAATTCCATAAAATCGAATGCACGATCTCGAAGAGAAAAAACCCGAACAAGAAAATTAGTAGCGCCTGAAAAAGGCGCTAGAAATAAAATTCATCGGCCCGACTTTCACTCGATTTTCTTATAAATGACTTTTTCCGGGACGTGAATGATGCGATTTTGATGCTGTCAAGAGGAATTTCAGGAGTCTGTCTAATCGGATTCGTGACCAAAAAAAGGCAAGACCATAGTCAGTCGTACAGAAAAAATATTCATTTACTGCCTATATCAAAGGAAGAACCAAAAAAAGATATACACATAAATATTTAACAAAAATAATGTAAGAATAAATATGTAATAATATAAATGTGTAATAATAAAGAATTAACACAATGTTAAATGAATGAATTAAAACTTCAAACAAAAAATGTGTGCAATTGTGTAAGTACATTACAAATTGTAATGCATCTATAAAGTTATAATTGACAACCTGTATCCTACTTTATTTGGACCACCCAGTATACTAACTGTAACTAATATACAATATACAGGGTGTTTTTTATAAAGTGCTAATACTGAAGGGGATGTTTCTTGTACCCATTTTAGGAAAAGAACTTCATATTATCACATGTCCTAAACCTAAAATTTATTATTATTATTTATTTATTATTATTATTATTTATTATATTTATTGTTGGAAATAAAAAAAATGTTTTTTAGATAAAAAAATGCTCGTTAATGCATAAACGTCGTACACCAAATTTTATAAGAATATTTAAAGTGGTATGGAAATGACAGTAAAAAATTGATATTTTTTCTTAAAACTTTAACACCCTATATATATTAAAAGTTAAGACGTTTAGGACATATGCTCATATGAAGTTTTTTTCTTAAAATGAACCCAAGAATCTCCCCCCTCAGTATTAGCATGTTATTAAAAAACACCCTGTATACGATGGACTTACTGATTTTGGTGATATACCAAAATACGGGAGCGGAAAGAATTAGACCTCCTATATAATACCTCCAAACCCAATTGTGTTTGATGTAGTGCAATAAAGGAAATTGGGCGACTTTGGCGGTAAGTGTGTAAGGATACTTCATCGGTCTTCTCCGTACGAAATTCTGAAATCGCCCGAAATTCGGAATCGGCGGGGAATTGTCGCACTCGCACGAATTCGACGGCGGTTTGTTTTTATTGAAAAACCAGTTCATTTTACTCAGGCCCCGGAACTGCAATATTTGTTCGACGATTGAAAATTAATTACTTGCGCAATCGAAAAACTTACCGTTAGTTGGAAATAAATTGTGGCTAGTTATATAAATTGTAAAATGATATAAGATTAATGTAAAATCAAACTGACAAACGTATGTTGCAGCTATCAAAAAGTAGGCTCTGTGATACTAGGGAGTGTTAATTTAATAAGAAATCCCTGTTGATATCTATTAGAGGTTAAAACTACTACCAACATTACGAACAGAAATCCCAATCATCCGTGATGCAAATAATAAATGGATGATACACATATACAATACTAGACATTACATCCCAAATTTTGCAATGCAAATTAATAGGAACAGTAATTAAAGTAATTAATTGGAAGACAATTTAATATAGCGAACATCGAGACCGGATCTATCTACAAATTTGTGGCCGTCGCGATTAATTCCAGGCCCGTTTTGATATCTACGTAAATATTTACATTGGGTTCCGGCGATTAAACAAGGTCTCCTCGTATTACGACGGTCGTGTAAATACTCATGTAAATTACCAGTAGAACGTCAATATTCTAGTCGTTAATTCGATTTTTTACATACTAAACACAATATTAGTTTATACTACGATATTTTATGAAATAACATTTAAAATATGAAACCTTTTAGAAAGATATAAAAGGACATTTAGTTGTGAAATAAATCTTTATTAACATAATCTTCCTTACTCAACAAGATTCGTACCATAAATTGCGGCTTTTGGTACAATTTCCACATTATTCCCGTTGAGACATTTTTATGAGGGCCCATTAGGAGTTCCCAGATGTGGGCGAATAAAGGCGCAAAACGCGAAATTACAATTTTTTTAATTACAATTTCATAAAAATTGGACGCCAGAAGACACACCTGCATAGATGCATTCCCCGCACAGCGAACAAGTGTGCACGAACGTTAAACGCAATCTGCATTATGCCAAAAAACAATGTCTGTTGCGCCGTAAACGCCACGGTTAAAATTTACATCCACACTAAAAGTTCATCTATGAGCAAGTACGATTTATAACTGTTGTACGGGCAGTAAAGTCGTTTCTGCTTCTCTCAAAGATTTATTTCAAGTGCTCGGGGAACGTCGCAGGGCATGGCCCAGAGGAGCCCGTCGTTCCGTTACGTGGTTTTTCCAGGCGGCTTCGAATTTACACGACTTCGTTTATTAATTTCGCCCGCACAACACGGGCGTTGTTTCCGATTCCGATGAAACCGCGTACAGTGTCTTTTGAAGTCGCAAATTGCTTCTGGGAAATGATTAGGCCGACTGTTTGACTCGGATCTCTTCGAAAACTTTGAGTTATCTCGTGGAAAATCGTAAATAACTGAGAATGAACGCATGCTGGGAAATGGTCTTTGATCTTTCTGGACTTGTTCAAAAAAATTGTCCAGCTAATTTAATCCAGAAAATACTAGTTAACTATCTCAAATTGGTCATTATTATTATTCTATAAGAAGGGTAGGGTGAAAAGTTCTCGGCCTGATACACTGAGGGCTGTCCAATGATACCATTTAGAACTGTCTAAATCCATTTAGAATGCTCCAGAATCATTTAGAACTGTCTAAACCCATTTAGAATGCTCCAGAATCATTTAGAAGGTTACATCCTGGCCATTTAGAATGCTCCATAGTCAGTTATAACGCTCCAGAATCATTTAGAACGGTCCAGAAGCATTTAAAACTGTCTATAACCATTTAAAAGGCTCCAGAAACATTTAGAATTATCTAGAACCATTTAGAACGCTCCAGAAACATTTAGAATTGTTATCTAACTAGAAACATTTACAATTATCTAGAACCGTTTAGAAGGCTCCAGAAACATTTAGAATTATCCAGAACAATTTACAACGATCCAGAAGTATTTAAAACTCTCTAGAACCACTTAGAACGCTCCAGAAACATTTAGAATTATCTAGAACCATTTAGAACGGTCCATAGTCCACACTCCAGAATCATTTAGAACCGTCATGAACTAAAGATTTTGAGTTAATAAGAAGAATAATGTAATTTTTCAACGGAAATTCGCGGTCTTTCATTGCCAGGCCAAGAACTTTTCACCTTACCTCGTACATACTGCAATCAATTTTCTTAATTTTCTATCACTTGTATACCTAATCGTTTTCTCGGTATATTCATTACAGATATCAAAAACATTAGGTACCTTGCCGTGAAATAATATTGTCTTGAAATTATTAATTTCGTTCGGGAATTTCTGGTGTGACGTTGACGGTTCGTTATTTCGGAAAAACCGCACGATCCGATGCAGAAAAACTTGTTAAGAACGTAACAAAAGCCAATTTATATTTTAATAAAATGGCAATATCCTGAAGCGATTTGTTTTTTTTTCGTCGCGTTGAAAAATACGATTGGATGTTTTTCGACGGTTTTTCATTACGGTTTCGATACCGCAATTTTAATTGAAAAAATAATAGGCGAATGGGTCCTTTTACACGATGAGGTTTTCGTCGAATTTTCCTTCGACTTTTAGAAGCTACTATTTTTACAAATCGGCCGTAAAATTATTAAATCTGGGTTAGAAAACTTGGACGAAGATATTAAACAATGTTTTAGTCCCGAAATTAGTTTTTATGTGCACTATTTAAAAGTCGTATAACGCTGGCATTTTTCGTGAAATCGTAAATTAAAATTGTTACGTGTAAACATCTGGGTATTATTATCAATACATTTTTCTTGCGTAACGCACGGAATTAGACAAAATGGTCATTAACTCGGCCTCAGATTGCATCCATAATTAGATACATCCATATAGACAAAATTACATATCCATCTAATCGCATAATAATTCGTTTCACCTTCAATTCTTCGTACGAACGTTTTCAATGAAACCGTTATTTTCAGAAGCACCACAGGTGAGACGTCGCACTTAATTAACATTATAAATGCAGTTTATTCGGAAACTAATTTGTTTGCTCGTACACTTGCTAAATTTACCCGAGGTTAGGGTTTATTATTACTCACAATATTACTCAATTCAACAGGCTACTCTATTTTAATAATTTAAAATATATCAGTACATAAAGTTAAGTAGGTAGAACTGATGCCGATTTGGTTGTCATATGTATTTTAGCTGAACGTATAGGTAAAAAATGTACGTATAGCATTTCTACAAGAACTCCAATTAAGTCTAATTAGTTCGAAAATCTTTCCTCGTTTGCGGGACTAAACCAATTTCACGCTCGACGCGTTTTAGAGCCGAATTTTCCCGGCTGACAAACGAGCTTGTTGAACGTTCGACCGGCTTCGTTCCCGTCGAATATAAAACTTTCTCTATTTTTTTCCTGCTATTCTAAAAGAATTACACGTTCGGCCGGGACGATAACGAGTCGAATAACATTAACATAATACGAACAATCACTTATCTGTCATGGTTGAGTAATGGTTCAAAGAGGCTGAACGCGGAGGTGCGTTTCGGCGTTTCTATTTTATTTTCATTGTACGCGAAGTGGGTCAAAGGATTGTAGATGTGTACTTTGAAAAGGTCTAAGGCATGCAGTTATTCTAAGGAAGTACTTAAATATCGTTAATTTAATAAACTAAATAAAGGGTGTTTCAATAAGACCGCAGGATTAACATGACAGATCGAAAGTTGATAGTTGGGAGTTAGTAAATATGGATCATTGAATCTGGATATGGAACATAATCGCGCCCTAATTGTAACATTACTCCCGGTCAAGTCATTTCCCGGTTTGGTGACCAGAATTTGTATACAATAATGCTATTGAAAATTTGATCAAAAGAGTACGCTTGTGCCAGCAAAGCCGTGGCGACCATTTACAAGATATTTTGTTTCATATATAATTCCTAAATGTACACATGATAAATTTATAAATATTTCCATATTTTGCTAAAGGTAACATTGTTTTATTGAACCTTAAAATCTTGCGCTCTTAGTGAAACACCCTTTAGTATACTTTTTTACGTTATATCTAGTTAAAAGCGTTAAAATTAACACCAAATTCACCCTGATTGATTATAACACCAGTTATAAAGAATATTTGCGAAAGTGGGTCAGTGATTGCGAACGTAATGTTTGCGACTATAAGTGCGTGTAACTGTTTTTTTAACTAATCTCCGTCGGTCTGTCGTAACGGTAAAGAAGGTACGTTTAATAGGCGCCTAACAGGCGAATTTATCCAAGTTAATTAGAAGCTAAGGAAAATTAAAACCGGCGAGAAACGGGTTAATGCTAAACGGATAAAAAATGCTTGTAATTGTATAGTGTACCTTATCAGAGACTGGGCATGAAAATATATTTTTTGATATTTTTATGTACATTTATTGCATCGGCGTGGTTTCTGAAAAAGAGCGCTTTTATCAGTAACACCAAGAAGATTTTCCTTCAATGTTATCTTAAAATACATAAATCATGAATTATATTTACTTTCTCGGTTATTTATTATACATTCCCAACGGCTTGATGTGCTCTATAAAACCGTTTTATACATGTGTGTGTGTATATTAGGGCAGGTCAAACAGATAACCTAAATACGCGATAATGAAAAAAAAAAACGGAAATATACTAAATATGTTTCATGACCACGAACCGAGGAATTTATCAGTAGGTGTTACTGATTATTGTGTGTTTTCGGAAATCCTTTATACATGACGATTTTTTCTCTGTAACGTATTGAATTGAAATTATTCAGGAATTTCCGAGCAATATTTCTAAACTACAATCGCTTTTATTTAAAAAACGCGTACAAAAAGAATCAAAATAATGTAGAAAAAATGACAATTTTACGAAAACTTTACTAAAATACCTGACGTAATACCGGAATTTTTCCATACGAAACCTTCATAAAAATAAACAGCAAATCTCGAGCGTTAATTATAAATAACCGAGTAATCATGTTTATCCGAGACCCCAAATCATTATAAATAATGAAACAAATAATGGAAAATGAACTTGTTTACTTAACCGGCCGTCTTTTAATTGGTAGTTAAATTTTTATCGGACATATGCACAGCGAGTGCATTTCACTGATTTACGTTATCTTAGGTCCGGACTCGAAATTCAACTGCAATGAGTGCGCTTTAGGAGTCATACTATACAATATTTTTATCTAACAACTTTTAACCTTCGAATGAAGAACTGATTAATATGTATACGCTTCATTTATTTTAACTATTTAACTATCAACAGGGTGTTATAATTTTACATTTTTCTCAGATATATTCTAGTATATTGTTATTCCAAAATTAATAGTAGAGAACACAAAACGTGAACGGTAAATGATGTAGAACATTGAAAACCATAAAAGGCAATACGCAGTTCGAATTTCTTCCGGACTCGTTCCGGAAATATCCGTTTCAAATCTTCGGGAAAGGAAAAAGTTGTTAAATCGAGCGCGACAAGCCGGGACAAGCTCTTCAAGCTAACGAGGGGAAATATTAGAGAAAACTAGGGCAATGCAATTTTTGCTCCGAGCCACTCGGAAATCCACCCGCCTGGAGAGACACAGATAAACATTCATTCCGCACAAGTTGACGCACATCTCTTCCTTTTACCGGGCAAATGAAAATGGGATCGCGTCCATCGAGGTTTCCTTTTTAGAGTTCAACACACTTTTACGTCGGCTAACGAAAATAAATTCATTTTATTTCCGATGTGGGTGGATTGTTTCGACAATTGTCTATTTGGTTTACCGTGCTGGCGTGTTATTGAAAATATACGTCAATAATTTCGTATTGATCTCGTTTTAGCTACCTACACAATGTTAGTTTTGCAGGTATTTATATTTCTGAGTTCAATATAATATTGAGTATAGTAAGTTGTAAGAAAAGTGCTATAAAACTACTTCGAGGGTGCAAATTATTTTTTACTCTACCATATGTGATATACACTAAACTTACATAATAGTTTGGAATCCATACCAAACGGGTATAGATTTAATTACACAGAAGGTCCAGCTTAACAAAATACCTAGTTAGCGTTGGAAACTAATATAGAACGTTAATTAATTCAATAGAATATACAGTTAAATCATAGTGCTATTTACTCGAAACCAGCAAATAGGGCAAAGTGGATTTTCCATCCCTCAACCCTCAACCCAGATTATACGCAGTTATTCGCATAAATCGATACGCATATAGGGCTTCAAGTTGCAATACGACCTGGGATTATCGTATATCGAACGTACGGTATCCGAATTAAAACTATACTCTTCGACCGTCAGCGTCAAGAACAAAATAATTTCGCTCTCGTGAGGTCGTTTCGTTTCGTTTCGTTTCAAAAGCCAGTTTCGATTTTTTTTTCCCATTCGTTCAGCGGCCACTTTCGATAAAACCGATTGCGATGGAAACGTATATCGAATCGAAACGAGGACACCGAAAAGACCGGCCGCAAATACGGCGAGTATTACATACGGGCAAGGACGACCGCTTCGCCGATTTGTCATTGGTTCAATAAACCTAAACTAAACGCCATTTACGGCGAATAATAAGTCTACAATACGAGTTTATTTAATTATCGAGGGTCGCCTTTGACAAGTCCACCGTCCAATTAGCGTCGAACGATGTTTCACTTTAATACCGTGGTGACGTCACGCTCGGTTAGCCCTAAGCTTAATATACCTAATCATATACAGTTTGACTCGAATTTAATATTTTTTTCACTTAAACATGCAAAATTTTTAACCGAACACCCATTTATCAGTCGAATTTATGTGACACCAAATAAAAGCATATAGTGCATTCAATATTTCATTTCGTGACGTCATATCGGCGTCAAAGTAAACACGCTATAGGTTAGCTAATCATAGTACCGAGAAATTCGGGACACGCGCGTTTCCCGACGTATTTACTCTTTATACGCCGGCGAGTTTAATCTCATAACCCGGCCGACATTGAACTTGAAAAAGGCTAAATCTAAATTTAACCACCAGGTAATAAACCTTTGGCGTAAATAAAAGCGCCGAATTAAGGAGACACCGAACACGGAGAGTGGGTGATTTCGGCGATATTTAAAAAAAAAACCCGGGTGGCAAATTGTTTAAAACGCATTTATTTCCAACGTCTTAACTAGTTTATTTATAATTAACTGAGGCTACCATTAGGTTGCGAAATACCCGTCCATTAATTTAAAAGAGACAGGGACATTCGCGTACGCGATTTTTTCGTGTGTTTTTGTTTCAACGGAGCGGAACATCGTCCTACGTACGAAAAGCGGGATTGGGTAATGCTGGAGACAATGACACTGAAAAACCCGGACGACCTGTTTACAGGAAAAGACGCCGATAAATTAACATAACTGATTACAATCCATTTTAGCGTGCAAAGTAATCGTTACCTACAGCTTGTAGTAGGAAAATATCTACGCCGCCGATCACTGAATCGCCCTGTATAATTGAACTGCGCGTCAAATGAATTGCGAATACAATGAAATTTAATCTTTCGCTGATCTAATATAACCGAAAATTTACCATACGCTTACACACGAATCGTGTAGAGTTCGGGCGAAATTCAGGCGAGTAGGTGTTGCATAACAGATTTTTTTTTCGGGTTTTCTAGAAATAAGTTTCGACTTTTTAAAAATAACACCAACCTACCTTATGGTTTGATTGATATACGTTTCGGTGTGTTTATCCGATTCGAGAGTTCAAAGAAACTATAAATTATTTTTTCAGTCGGTATAATATTTATTAATACGCGGTGAAGAGCGCAAGACGGGCGAAAATCGCGGATGATTTCATCCGGGAGTGCTGTTGTTAATTCGAAAAATAAATAATGAAAGACTTACCTGATTAAAATCCAACGGCAGACGAGAGATCCTTTTTCGCTACAAGCTTTTAATGTGACGCGAAAATTACCGAAAGCACTAAAAAGAAATGTCACTAACTCCGATTAATTAATGATTATTTCGAATCCCGACAGTGTTGCTCTTTTTATTTTTTTAGCGTAACTAATTTTTTAACGATAAATATTTAATTATTTTAGTTAGTTGCATCTACGGTTAAATTTAATATCTTTATATAATTTTATTTCGTAACTGGCACTATGATAGAGCACTAGGTTAGATTTAGTGAGTTTTCGAAACGTGCGTGTACTGATCAAAAATGTCCTGCTTGGAAAAACCGCGCGTTATCAGGAAATTTTCTCGGGGAATTAACGACGGGGGAGAAGCGGTTTTTCGCCTTGGTCAGCTTCTCATTTTTCCGGCAAAGTCTAATTGCTCATCTGAAACAACATAAACTTTCATTAGGTACTCTACTTTTACTCTACTAACCGAAAATAACATTTTTTTTGGTTTTTTTAGTACATTTTTTACATTTTTACAAATACAATTTACATTTACATTTATAAAATATTGTAATTACCTACATTTAGTTAAAAAAATTGCCATTTTTCGTATATTTAGTGCATACTTGTATGCACATTTCACATTCTTTTAGTGCGTATTATCAAAGCTTTACTTATTACCCAAAATTTATTCAGGGGTAATTAAAATTCTGCAGGTAGGTGATTATGAAACTTAACTGAAATCCATTTGAAAAAACATTCGTTCAATATCAATCCAACGAATTTTTTTAATCGGAACCTTTACACAATTCCTAAAAACAATATGCCTAAAATTAAAGTTAATGAGGTCAATGCAGATAAATTTAATATCTTATCATGCTGTGATTAAACAGAAACAGTGTTGATGACCTAAAATACTGACTGTCATTAATAAAAATTAATTGTTTGTTTTATAACATTACATTGAAAAAATCTCCACTTTCCCTGATAAGGAAATTACAGACCAGGAATAACGAGGTAAAAAGTTGCGACATGGATCATTTAAATTCTCGGGTTGTTACCCAATTTGTTGGTTTCCAAATTCGCTTTTTTTGTGGGCGAGTTCAAGGTTTCTAAACTTGAATATTTCCCTGAAAAACAAACATTTCGAGAGCAACGTTTATGGAGATATACGACTGCTTGCAGTACCGTTTCCAGGACAATTAAGAGACGCTAAGATAACGTACTAGATAACATTGTTTGACCTTATTTTTATGTGTATTGATAAAGTACATACAAGAAGGTACACACAACATACACATTTTACAAAATATTTTTTTAAAAATCAGTGCATTTAGCCGGTTCATTAATTTTATTTGCAGGAACAATAATATTTTTCCAGTGACTTTTTTATGCATCAAATACAGGGTGTTTCTGAAATAAGTGGTCAAACTTTGGGAGCAAGTATTAGAGTGTATGAGACAATTTGAATGTCATTTTATCGAAATGTCAAGTTTTTGAAAGAATTCATTCCTAGGTTTTTTAAGATGACAATAATTTAATAATTTTGTGTATCAGATTTTAAAAGTAATTTTTCGTGAAAACGTTTACTTTACGTCAAGTCAACAAACATACCTATTTTATGTATAAAACTTAAGTTTTTCATATTATTTAAACAAATCAATAGAAAAGGTTGAAATAAAAAGGTTATGTTAAAATTACCCCCCGAACCCTCCATTTTAACCCACCCCTAGACAACTTTTTTAACCCCATTTTTATAGTGCCGTAAGGCATTTCATTTGTTTAGTATGTGTACCAAATTTTATCATTTTACCTTTGTTATTAATGAAATTATTAATAAAAATACCTCTTCAAGAATCCATCTTAAACACCCTGTATACTGATAACGAAGGACATTTCGATAAAATGACATTTAGGTTTTTTTCATAATTTAAGGTTCTCCACTTGCTCCCAAATTAGACCACTTATTTCGGAAACACCCTGTCTAGTAAAACATAGTAAGTATGCCACATTGTTAAAATCAAGTAATGAAAGTATGAAATATTGATTATTATACTGGGTGTGCTATGTTCGTTTTCTTACATTTACATAAGAAAATTTTATTACTGTATACGGATTTACAAATAAGTTACGAGTGAAAAATTTTGTTAGAAGAAAACCGGCAGGAAAAATGGTGGGATTTCGATAGACCGCCCAATCGGACGATAAAAATGAAAAGAAAGCGCCCATCATAAAAGGCGACGTGCTCGGATCGTTAATCAATCGAAACTTTCACCCGTGCAATAGAAACGCGTCCCCTTATCTGCCTGACATTCAAAAATAATTGAGAGATTAAATACAGATTTGACCTCAATTTTTTCGAACTTGAAACACTTCTTGTTGTTTTCGAGCTTCGTTCGAGTTTCCCAACTCGATAAAGCGATGATTAAACGCCAACAAATTAGGAATTTTGGAGGTTTTTTAAGCGCGAATTCGCTGGAAGGTAGATTAGCAAATGCGAAATTTACGCACCGTTCCGTGTTTTATGCTCGATATAAGCCCGCATCGCGAAGCACAATAATTGTGACTTAATGGCGCCCGCATGGCTCCGATTCGATCGAAGTTTGTTCCAGATAGGGAGTCAATAATTCACGGAATACAAACATTTCCAGCGCCCGGTAGGTTTTCATTTCGAAAACGGGTTGTTGTTCTTGCGGGAAAAATGCACTTATCCTCTACCTGAAGCAATTATTCGTAAAGCAATTTTACCATACGTTTTGCTACTCTCATGGGAGCCAGGCATTAATAACAGAGTGCGTTCGCTTCTATTATAGTTATTAAAATTCCTAACATTGCCACATAACATAACCTTAATTATTCTCTCTATAGGCCGTTAAAATTCCTGTCGAACACACGATTTCTGATTTTACTCGACTCGAAGAGTTTACCACAAATGTAATGCTGCTATTTCGATTTATTTACTGCGCCTTGTAATTGATGGGCATACCAGTAAAAAATTGAGAAACTATTATTTATAATACATATTTTTTTTAACATGAGTTTTTAAGAGGCTTCATTTAACCAAATAATCTTCTGTAATAAATCTACTATTTATACTAAATACAAATATGTATAAATGGCACTGCTATATTCCAAGATTTTACCGGGTGCAATAACAAAATAAGATAATTTAAGATAAACCATATTATACAGGGTCCTCAAATGCAATTAACACGCTTTGTATGTATTAATTTTTCCAAACAAAACCTTGACAATTTATTATCCCTAATATGCCCATTAATTTTCTTTTTCGTGTCCAATCACTTACTTGCACAAGGAAAGAGTATAAACATGTGATTGATATACAGAGTGTGGACGTTATATTAATACTCGCGACGCCGAAAGTGCTTACCTAATGGAAAAATTTAGATTGGATGGAATGGGAATTTATGGGGGTTTTGTCTGAGTGAACAGAAAAGGGGAAAACGCAACACAGTGGGGTTTATCATTCATCGCCCCTATACAGGGTTAATCACGATATACGAGCCGGTATGTTAGTGCATTTTAATGAGGCTTTTATAAAAAAAAGTAGTTTTACGTGTACATTTAAAAATTCATTAATTTGTTTCGACTGTACAGGGCGTCTCAACAAAAAATTACACATCAAAAATTGTTTTTTATATGAAAAGTATAATTCTATTTTTAGTACCTGCAGATGTACAACAAAATATTAAATGCAGTATACACAGGATGCCCCAGTTAAAAAGCATCACTACAAATTTGAACAAATTTGAACAAATACTGTTATAATATTTTTAAATTGCACCGTAAAATCGAACGGTAAACCCTCTGTATACAAATAAATGCAGTGTATTATTCCTATTTCGCTTTAACGAAAAAAAAGGGAAATCGACGGAAATAATCCGATATATTCACCAATTATACTGAGCGTGTGCGTTATATTTTGTATTTACAAAACGTCACTGTCGCTTTACTACCGGCTATTGTGGAATGAGATCGTGTCAGAATTTTCATTTTACCCTCGTCAATGGTAAATTTATTCAAAAAAAACACTCACACAAAAGGCCCCGGCCGTTCTGGACTCAAACCTGCTGGTGCATTAAACAGTTCCGGTGAAATTGACGCCGACTTTTTCGAAAGCGATCAATAGATAGAGCAAATCGTGGAATTGAGGGGAAATTTGTATAAAAAAATTAATTGAACAAAGCTATTGTCGAAAGATTAAAGCTAAAAAAAACTTGAAAAAACGTTAAAAATCCCTTTATTATCGCAATTTGACCATAACATTCTGTATATTTCAATCACACAACTTCTAGGAATGTGTTATAGATGGGTTCTTTTTTTAGGCGCAATAAATATTTATTTATATGAAGTTTAATAGTTCCAGAACTGTATACACTAATTATTAATTACAGGATCTAGATTTCGTTTAGATTACACTTGTTGCGAAATAAATTTTTCCAGATCATCGACCCAAATTCATAAAATTTCATTCTACTTGTACCCGCCTACTCGCGAATAATAAAACGTCGAAAAACTAAATGCGAAGTTAATGGACCGCAGGAAAACATCAAAGGAGAGATTTTTTTTCGACTTTGGCAAATCGCGCTTTTCCTGGGCAAACGTATTTCTCGCATTCAATTCGACTTTGTCGCCGGTCGGGCAAATGATCCCCGGAGGAAATAAATAAGCCCGCCTCTTCGTATCGATATCTGTACAGCTCACGCTAAATGTTACTTAAAAGGGTACGTGCGTGCTGGATGGCATAAAGAAGAGTAAATGGTAAGTGAGCCCCCCCGTCAAGCGTCAAGAAAACATCCGTATGGTTATTTTATGTCCGCTCGCAACGGACTATAAAACAAAAGTAATAGTACTGTAGGTGTTTAATTGAAGAAAACTCCATAAAATTTCCAATGGTTAAACTTTTTCTCTTGCAGTTTAGAGGGATTTTCGCGTAGCTAAATTAAAACGCTGATTGTTCGATATTGTAAAACGCGCAATAGTAGTCAAACAATTCACATGCGTCTTAATGAATGTTCGGTAAAAAAAACCTATCAATTAGGTAAATTAGCCGCAGTTCAAACACCTACACGGCTATTTTCGTTTACTTTATTTTTCGCATAACCTTGCGAATATTCCATTATACAAAGCGTACGCTTGGAAGCCACATATCCGCTGTTCGTGTATATTTAACTAATTATCTAGCCGTGAGTTACATAATTCGGCCTTTTAACTGACGCTTCATTGACTTGTCGTTATAAAAAAAATCGATTTTTTTTAGTCACCGACTGGTCAATGCAACCCGACTTCCTGTAACAGATTCGCCTAAACATCCAATGCCGCTCGCTCGTATTTCGTTCCACCGATGTAGGTTATCTCATTATCAGTCTGCGGCTGTTCGCGTATTCTTGAAGCGAGATTAAGGAAATTGAGGTCAG